GTAAGCGGGCAGTATAGAAATTGGATACCCAAAATTGGGGGGATAAAGGCATGAAGTGGTTAGCTTACAAACTTTCATAGGTGGGGGGATATATTCATAGGATTAAGGTGTAGGTGTTACTTAACTGCAATTATTAGGCTAAAGAATTGTGTACCGGTGCCAAGTTGGCAAGGGGTGGATTGAGAGAGTTAGTTTATTTTGACAACCTGGCCGATAAACACATGTGGGGTTAATTGAAGGGCAGAGAGATAAATGGCTCTGTGAGACTCACCTATCTAGTTCTCAGGTCTCTTGCTTTCTGATGGTCGGACCAGGGTGCAGCTGCCTTAGCCAGTTCCCTGCTTTAGCTGGCAAGGCTCACTTCCTGCAAGACATCCCTGAGGAGAAACTACATGGACCTATCCTGATGCAGCCCTGGGTGCTGGAGCAGCCACGTGGAGACCCCTGCCAGCGCTGAGATGCTTACACGCTCATTGATTCGGCTTTCCTCCTGTAGTCAGTGTCATTGCATGTGTTTTGTGAGATTGAAGAGAACCTTAAAGATTGGTGTCAGACATATGGGCTAATGTTGGACAGCACTGGGTTGGGATGCTTTCTTAATGTACACTTACCCTTTATATAAAACTCTCTCTTACACATATAAGTTTCTGTGGATTTGTTTCCCTAGTTTACCCAGACTAGCTCTCTGCAGGATAGCAAGACTGCTCCCATCCCTGGTCCATGGTCAGGGGAATTCTTCAGGGCATAACCCATGTGTATCCCCCCTTCACTGTGTGTGTTTGTGTTTATGAAACAACTTTGAAATGAAATGGGTCAAAGGGTGATCAAATGAGACGGCATTACATTTTAACCTAACTACGTCTGCCATACTTGACTTTACACTGTTCTCTGTCTGCTAACAAGGCTGTTCACATCTCTCAACTGTGACCTGAGGGGATTCATCGAAGCCTTAATCCATGTGTGGACTCTGTAAATGGATTTTGGGCTTCCACTGTCATCCAGAGCCTTCTGAAACCTGGGTGTTCGCAATTTAAACTCATACCATTGCCTCCTTTAAGTTTAGATTATGTCATTTTCAACCCATGGGCTGGTCCATGAGACTTTAACCCAAACCTGGTGGTCAATTCAGGAAGGTCTTCCTAGAGGTGACTCTTTGACACACCTGAGAACTCACTGGCTGCCAAGAAGGAAAGCTATACTGCTGAGCCCACAGGTTCTGCCCGAGATCCGAGGGAGTCCCAGGGGAGCCGAGTGCTGGCGGGGAGAAAGGGCTCCGCTTGGCCATGCGTCGGACACCAGCTCAGAGGTAGGTGAATCGCTCGGGACTGAGAATGTGATTGTTCGCTGTCCTCCATTGGCCCAGGCTCAGGCAACCTTGTACACAACAGACAGACAGTGGCCCACACAGCAAGCCCCTGAAAACACGGCATGTGTCAGTCCACAGTCCAGTCCCTCCCGCCGCAGGCTCATCTTCCAACCCCTGGTCCACAGTAACGGGCTCATTTTCAAACGTGGGTCACCAGGCTATTGTCCCTGCTGTTAAGCACTGTTGAGTTGGTTCCGATGCATTACGAACAACAGAAGGAGCCACTGCCCGGCCCGGCACCATACCCACCTCGTCGCTATGCGTAAGTCCACTGCTGCAGCCACTGCGTCTGTCCATCTGGTCCAGGGCCCTACACTAGAAGAGCCACTGAAGCCTGCCCACCTCAGGTGACTGCTGGAGTTTGAGGTACAAGAGGTACTGCTTCTAGCATCGAAACTGCATGCCAGCCACCGCAGCAGGCAGAGCAAGAGGCAGGTGGCCAGTCAGAATATGGCGCATACGGGGGACACGATGAGAGGGCCCCGTTGACCTGTCAGCTGTTGAGTGGCTTGTTAGCAGACCTCCTGGGTCCCAGGAACTGCCAGGATCTCTGCTGCCTAGGGAGAAAGGTCTGTGTTGGTGAGGACAGCCCCCACCAATTCTGACCCACACAGCATGGTGGGCCTGGAGGGCAGCCCCACAGGCCTTCTAGGGTGTGAGCATCCCAGGAGCCGGTCACCACTTCTTTATTCCCGAGGATGCACTGGGTGGGCGGGCTCCAGCCCCACCTTTCTGTTCAAGGCCGAGGGCTTAATCGCTGCCTTCTATTATGTGGGAGGGCCATGTGGCTGTCCTGTGCTAAGTAATGGGACCAGATCAATGTCCTCCCTAGGGGAGACCAAGTCGGCACCAGCCTTGGGGCTCAAAGACATAGGCCATCGACATCCAACTGTTGCCCATTTTCCAGCTTCTCAATGCCCACATGCCCACTTACCTAGTTTGTCAATGCCCACCACGTGCCCACTGACCTAGCTAGTTAACGTGCAACAGGTGCCTGCTTACCTAGTGAGTTAGTTAATTGTGCCAACCTGGCCGATCATCACATGTGGGGCTAATTGAAAGGTGGAGAGATAAATGGATGGTGAGCCTCGCCTTTCGAGTTCTCGGGTCTCTTGCTTTGTGATGGTCGCATCAGGGTGCAGCTGCCTTAGCAGTTCCCTGCTTCAGCTTGCAAGAATGACTTCCTACAAGATATCCCCAAGGAGAAGCCACATGGGTCTATCCTGATGCAGCCCTGGGTGCTGGAGCAGCCGTGTGGAGACCCCTGCCAGCGCTGAGATGCTTATACATTCACTGACTCAGCTTTCCTCCTGCAGTCGGCATCATTGCCTCTGTTTTGTGAGGTGGAGGGCTTTGTGGACTGGTGTTGGGTTAATGGGTTAATGTTGGACTTGTGGGCTTGGGCAGCATTGGGTTGGGATGTTTTCGTGATGCACACTTTCTTTACATAAAACTCTCTTATACATGAGTTGCTGTGGATTTGTTTCTCTAAAGTACCTAGACTAATACACCTAGCTTGTTAGTCCTTCGCTTGCTAACTTAACGAGCCCATCGATCCCAATAACTAGTCCGTTGATTGCTACCTCTAGCCCCTTAACCCGTCTGCTGCCCAGTGAAGAGGGCACTGCAGGGTGCCCAGGGCAGAAGACGAGCCGGCATCAGCGCAAACTGACAGGAAAGGCAAGGCCAGACCCAGGCTGACACCTGAGGAAGCGGCCAGGATTTGGGACGAGAGAGGGACTTGGGTCCAAAGACCCTCAGGTTCTTCCCCGTGGGGGCGCAGTGTGTGGTGCTGTCTGAGTTCGGCAGCTGATGCACCGGGCTACTGAATAACCAACTGAAACCCAAATAAACGACCTTCTCACCTGGGTTTAGGTAGGGGAATTTAGGATCACAATTCGGCGTTTTCTAAAACCGACGGAGGCTGTGGGCTCGGAGTTCTGTTGAGCCCACTGATGGAGTGGCCTGCATGGAGCTGCAGGAGCCAGGGGGGATGGCTGCATCCAGCTCTGGGGTGGATGCGCTGGTCTCCCGCCCCTAGTGGCAGGCTGTAGCCATTGCAGACGCACAGCTAGAAGCCTCTCTTGTTTCATTCAGCCTGTTTGGGAGCAGACAGCCTCTCTTTCCCTGGCGGGTTTGAACCGCCAACCGTGCGGTGAACAGCCCGACAGGCCACCCGCTGCAAAAACCAGGTTAAAAAGGGCCTCTGGAGTGACTAGAACTTACTGCTACCGAGTCGATGCCGACTCACGGCGACCTGATAGAAGAGGGTAGACCTACCTGCCTCTGTGCGTTCCCAAGACCATAAACTCTTGATAGGAGTAGAAAGCGTCGTTCTCCCTTGGAGCAGCTGGTGGTTTTGAACACCTGGCCTTGCAGTTAGCAGCCCAACCTGTCACCACTGCACCAGGTGCTTACACTGTCAGCAAGCCGACCTCTGGCTGGCCAAGCGGATTCCAACGTCACCAGCTCCTCCCTTGACAAATGTCCTTCGCCGTCCAGTCGATGCTGACTCCCGGGCAGAGCCGACGTGCTCCTGCATGCTTCCGAGACTGCCAAATCTTTGTGGACATGGGCTGCCTCATCTTTCCCCTAAGGAACTGCAGGTGTGTTTGAACCGTCAACCTTGCAGTTAGCAGCCCGCTGCTTAAGCCATTGCTGAGAGGCCCTAGAGCAGTGGTTCTCAACCTTCCTAATGCCGTGACCCTTTAATACAGTTCCTCATGTTGTGGTGACCCCCAACCATAAAATTGTTTTCGTTGCTACTTCATCACTGTCATTTTGCTACTGTTATGAATTGGGTGACCCCTGTGAAAGGGTCGTTTGACCTTCAAAGGGGTTGAGACCCACAGGTTGAGAACCACTGCCCTAGAGGATCGCACAGACCCCTCCCCACAACCACCCTCCCCAATGGCCCCACCATGGTCTTCCTCCTCCCAGACTGGGCCATGATGCTCAAGAGCTTCCACAACTGTGTTCCTGGGTGATGCACCGTCCCTCCGAGTTTCCGTGGCAACTGAAATAGCCCCAAGGTGGGCGTCACACTCAGCGCTCAGCAGTGTGGGGACAACGACTAGTCTGTCCAGGTGGCCTTCCAGGTGGAGGGATTGAATTGTGGGCTAGACCAGAGCATGTGCACAGGTACTGAATTATGAGGACAGTGTGCATGTGCTATGCACATAAGTATGTCACATGCACACTGTGCTGAGTATGCATTGTGTGTTAGATGTGTGTACATGCACCAGATGTAAATGTGCTATATAGTGTGTGGTGTGTACTTTTAGAGGTATGCAGTGTGTACATGTGTGTTGTGTAGTCTGTGTGTTGTGTATGTGTGAGAGGTATGCGGCATGTACTTGTGTGCTGTGTATTCAGGTGTGCTGCGTGTTGTGTACTGGATTAGAGGTGTGTGGTGTGTACATGCATGTTGTATGTTAGATGTGTTTTAGATATGCTGTGTGCTGTATTAGAGGTGTGCGGCATGTACCGGTGTGCTGTGTTCAGGTTTCATGAGTCCCTCTCACTTGCTGACCGACACACTGGCCAGCAGTCCCCTTCTTGACGAGAGTCCGCCAGGCCAGAGTAGTGAAGAGAGATGCCCAAAGGTTACCATGAAGAAGGAAAGACATTGAGCTTCATAAAACCCAGATTTATTCAAAAAACCGATTCAGAAAGTCTGGAAAGCGTAATAAATATCTGTACAGCGCGCTCAGCACGAACGCAGCAGGACGCGTGGGCAGGACACCCCACGGTGCACACAGAGGCGAAGCTCATACACAGAGTGCGGAGTCGGGGCCCCCGGGGACCAACCACCCTCGGCCTCGGCTGCTCCTTCTCACCACAGACGGACTGACGGACAGACATGCACCGGTGGCTCTTGAGGGGTTGGCGACAACCCGAGTCCCGTGGCTGTGGGCCTGGGGGAAGCGCAGCAGCAGCAGCTCCCCCACGCGCAGCTTGGAGAATAACACCATCTTGTGAGCAATACTGGCGGGCACGGGGCACTGGGTCTCTTCAGAATGCATGGCCTGTCACATGGCACACGCTCAATGTTCCATGCACAGGGGCCTGCCACACTGCACACACACACACACACACACACACACACGGCTGAACCAAGGACAGGCAGGAGGCCGCCACTGAGGTCTGGACCCTGTGGGCTTTCCCACACTGATGGGGTGAATTGGGTGTTCCCCCAAACAGCGGGGCTGCCAGAGGAGGGGGCAGGCAGGGGTGCCTGTTGGGGTTGGAGCTCAGCTTATTGGTGACATAGCAACGTGGTTTTCATGACCCGGTGGGGACAAGGTGACACGTGTGGAGGGGAGGCTAGGTTCTTTTGTGCGTTCTACCATTTGTGCAAGTCACCGGGTAAGGGCGTGTCAGCACAGACCCGTCCAGGCAGCCCCCCTTGGGTGCAGCCCCTGTGGGTGCTGAGTGCTCGCTGCTCTGGGAGCTGGACTACAGGGCGGTGAACCCACATCTCTTTCTGGGGTGGGCTTCAAGTATCATTTTGTGGGAGCAGGTGCTGTGGATGCTAAGTAGGGCTGGCTGGATGGTGCAGAAGCAGGATCCCCCCCTGGAAGGCGGGTCAGGGACCCCTGTGGGGTCTTGTCCTCAGAGGGTGGGAAAGCTGGGTCACCAGGGTCCCAGGAGGCACTCAGGGAAAACATTCTAGGCCTCGCTCTCTACATACGCTGCCTCTCTTAGACCTAGTCTCAGCCCTCTGCCCAGTAGGTAGGCTCTGGAATTCTGGGAGGGCGGGGCCCACGATGTGGACCACACGGGAGCTCCTGGAAGGGGACCCCGGGTGGAACCAGCAGTGGTGGGAGGGTTGGGGTGGGGTGGACATCCAGTCTTGGGAAAGCCTTTCCCGCTGACAGCACCCATGATGGGCCTGGTGGGGCGGGAGGGGAGGTGGGGCACAGGCCTGTGGACCCCTGTGATCCATGTCTAGGAGCCTCCCAAGACAGGGCAGGCTGCACCCTCACTCAGGCCTGGAGCACGGACCCGCAGCAGAGGCGGCATTGCTTTTATGAGGGCGTGACAATTAACAAAGGAAAGGCCGCAGGGGCTGATCTGATCTGATCCGTGTGCTGGGCCCTGGTGGGGTGGGGGTGGGGCAGGGGCAGGGGCAGGATCCAGTCCCGGGCTGGTGAGCTCTGCCGTCTGGCGGGCCTTTCTTCCTGGCGCCTCCAGCCCTCTGCGCCTGTGGGGCTGCACGGAATAATGGAAGAGGGATCCGAAGACCCCGGGGTAGACCTTTGCATACTGTGTTTGCTCTGGTCGTGGGGTGAGCTGAGGCGAGGGGTGGGAGGGGCAGAGGGTGGGCTTGAACTAGCAGGTGCCCCCTCGGTGCTCCTGGGCGGTGGGAGCGACTCCACAGAAGACAGAGGCACAGACAACAGCTGTGAAAGCACACCGGGCCGGGCCGGGCAGGGCCAGGGGGTCCCCGGGAGCTGAGGACGGGGTGCAGAGCATCCACGGGGGATGAGGGCCATAGCAGGGCGCAGCACACGCCCACAAACACAGTAAGTAGCAAGGGTACACAGGTCACTGAACACACAGCTCTGCCACGGACACGCCACGCAGACACGCCACGTGCAGCACACAGGGGCTGTCAGGGCACCACTGCTGGGGCGAGCCCCTCACCCCGCCCCGCCCTGCTCCTTGCAGGGCAGGCAAATTCCATAGTCACAGTTTCCCGCCGGCCAAAAAGAAGCCCCGCGTGGTCTCACCCCGCTGAGCCCTGGAGGGAGCGGGGTGGGCGTCGTAGCTCCTCGGGGCCCCCTCACCCCTGTGGGAGGCAGATACCCAGGCAGAGGGCAGAGGCCTGGGTCCCGGGGGGCGGGGTTCTCCCCTTCATTGGGCTGAACACCCTCAGTCCACACAGTTTTTGGATCGCTATGGAATAGGATGGGGTCTCCTGGTGGGCATGGCCCTGCCTCACTGTCCAGCCCCAGCCGGCGGGGAAGGTTCTGGAACAAGCTGGGGGCTCTGATCTGTCACTGACAGAGCCCCTACCACAGTGCTCAGGGCCCCGAGGGGGGTGGTGGAGCTGACCGGGTGACTGGCTGGAAACACGGTGCCCCTCAATGTGCATTCTACCAGCAGGCAGGGAGGCGGCAAGGCCGTGGGGACTGGGGAGGGGCAGTCAGCAAGGTTGGCACAGTGGGGCTCTGGGGTGCCCGGTTCAGCTCCCCCACTGAGAGAGGACACGTGGACGGTGGTCGTCCTGCGACCTGCGGGGAGCCCAGTCCAGAGTCCACTGGCGAGCATGGGCTGGAGCCGGCCAGGGCTACAACCGAGTGGACGTCAGCCTCTTCATGCCCCGGCGCTGCGCCAGGTTGGACGCCAGCACGGGCTCCAGACGGGGTGCCTGTGGCGTTCGGTTCAGGGCCAGGTAGGTGGCAGCCATGGCCCCCTGTGGAGCAAGGAGCGATATGAGCCTGGGTGGGGTCAGGGGGGCTGGGTGCCTCCCCTTGCAGAGAGCTGCATCTGACCTTAGGGGTGGAGGGTGCAGTGGGGGATGGGAGGGACTTCCCCCCACCAGGGCAGTGCCCTGGTAGAGGCGCAGGGAGCAGGGACCCTGCTGTAGAATGGCCTCCTCCAGAGGTGGGCAGTGTGCTGGGGTCCAAGGCCAGTACATAGGCTCTTGGCCAGGGCTGTGCTGGGGTCACCACCCTCTTGTGCCCCCTGAGCCCACCTTGACCTCACTGTGCTGTGACCTGGGATGTAATGGATCCACTGGTGAGACCACATGGCCCCTGTGTGGTGCCAGCAGGGCCAGGCCTGCCCTCCGGGGCCCACAAGCCCAGGGGGACACACCAACAGCCAATGCCAGGGCTGCGTCCACCCTGCTGGCGATGGCTCCAGGTAGTTGGGACTGGCTTGGGTCCCTCACGGGTCTGTCCCATAGCCACTCTGAGTCTTTAGGGAGGATGCAGGGTGGCCCCCCAGCTGGACAGTGGGGGCAGCCTGTGCTTCCCAGGGGAGGTCACACCCACGCACGCGCCCTACCCCGATAATGTCAAATGGGCCACAGAAAGTATTTCCAGCCTGGGCCCTGCCAGGACAGGGCTGCAGCCCTCTGGTCTACATCTGAGGAATTTGGTGCTTTGAGGGGCTCGGTGGGACCCCTCCCCTCTCACACAGAAGCCGCTCAGTATGGATAGCTGCCAGAGGGGCTCCTGACCCCGGGCCTAACAAGCCACACACGGGGAGGCCCCTCTGGGCTGATCCCAGGCCGCTGTGGTACCTTCACCAGGTGGACGTCCTGCCTGCTGAGCTGGCTTTGGGACAAGCACTCTCTGTTCACAATCCACGGGTGCTTTAGCACCTGCACAGCCGTCAGGCGCTGCCGAGGGTCCACGTGCAGCATCCGGGACACCACGTCCTGGGGATGGAAGGGGGGAGACGTGGGCCATGGGAGGGGAGGGAGGAGTGGGGAAGGAGGAGACAGGAAAGGGGTGAGGAGAGGACTGATGCTGGATTCATCAGCAACAAAGGCATCTCAAGATTCTCTCGGAGGGCTGGGCTGCCTGGGATGGGCCGGGGGCGGAGAATCACTGCGTGCCTGAAAGTTGATCGGACTACGTTCAAATGTACGCACCGACCACTAAAGCCAGGGGAGAAGGAATTGAAGAGCCCTATCAGCTCCAGCAGCCTGAAGCTGAGCACGCATGCAATCAGGCTGCACCGACAATTGCCGGGGGTTGAACGTGAACATCGGAAGTTAGGACGGAGGGTCCTGGTGGCGGCAACATAGAAGCTGCTAAGACCAACAGCCTTTTCATCGCCAAGACCGTCTTTAACAACATACCTGGAGCCACATACAGGGCCACGTGGGCACACAGGAACCCGACGGACCACGCACAGGGAGAGAGACGATGGCGGAGCGCAGGGCCAGCAGCCAAAAGTAGGCCGAGGGCTGGCTGTGGGACAGACCCTCAGCTGCTTGTATTTAAGTCAGGTTGAAGCCGAGGGGCGTTCAAACAATTCTACAAGAGCCAGAATATGACACTGAGAACATCCGACCTGAACTTAGAGACCACTTCAAACACAGCGGTGGCATGCCCATCATGAAGGACCAAAGGCCGAGGAGCTGCGGGAGGACATCAGGGCCCTCATTCCCGAAGAAAGCAAAAGGTCCCGGAGAAGACCGACCGGATGAGAAGAAAGACCCAGACACCTGACTCTGACACAGACTCCCTAAAACCAGCGCCAGACAAGACGAGGGAAAGAAGACACCTCAAGAGCAGACCCTGGAGACAGGAGACCGACGGAGATGCTGCCCCAGCCGAAGGGCGAGGGCCTAGCTGGCCCTCCCCAACCCCCAAGCACTGCTCGTGTGCATGTCCCCGTGCAGCACACGCGTGCTGCTGAAGGGGGCGATGAACTTCTCTGCTGGGTCTTGGGAGGTAGGACGGGCATTTAGGAAGTTTCTTTTCCTCTTCCACTGAGTACTGGTGAGAGGAGTGCCAGGGGAATTGTTGCCAAGGGAGGCATTGTGCTTCCAGAAAAGCCTCACGGGAAAGTCCCGCAAGCAAAGGTAGTGGCTTAAGGAAAGGAGGGGGAGATTGAACCAGTGGGTGTGGGAGTCAGGAGTGAAGTTCTTCTCCCTGAATATAGAGGCACCAAAGTGGTTCTAGACGATAGGGATGATTTCTTATTTAGAGATGGCAACATTCTGGGGAGGCCCGTAGACTAGACCAAAGATCTCGTGGCAGTTACATGATCTGATGTCAATTTGAGGATTAAGAGGGAAGGGGTGGAGTCTAGCCTGTCAATCGGGTCATAGCCAATGAGGCCTCTGTGTGGGCATGGCCTTCTCCTGAGGGTTCTGGGAATTACTGTATTTCCTCTTTGGAGGTAGGAGACACACTCTCTCTCCACTCACTCCCTGGGTGACATTGCAACTGACAAGACACATGGAACTACACTAGTGTCCTGTGCTGGAGAAGCCACGTGGAGACACCGGTCAGCGCTGAGATGCTCACACCGCCACTGGATCCACAAGACTTCCCACCCACTGGCCTGTGATCTTCCTGCATTCGGCGCCATTGCATGTGTTTAACGAGACTGAATAGGACTTTATAGATTGGTATCGGGCCTATGGGCTAATATCAGGCTTATGGACTTGATCTGGACTGGGCTGGGATATTTTTTCAATATTCAACTGCTCTTGTATATAAAATAAAGCTCTTTCTTAAACACATATGAGCGGCTCTGGATTTGATTCTCTCGTCTACCAGGACTAACACAGCGCTACTGGTATGGCGTCATGTGAAGCTGCCCGCTCCTTCTCCCAAGGAGCGGCTTGTAGTTTTGAACCGCTGACCTTGCAGTTAGCAGTGCAAAGCACAACCACTGAGAGGAGATCATTGCTGATGTCAGGTGGGCCTTGGCGGAGTGCAGAGGGTAGCAGAGAGACGTTTACTTGTGCTTCATTGACCCTGCAAGGGCACTGAGTGTGTGGATCACACAGCCGTGATGGCCTGGAGCAGAATGGGGATCCCAGAGCACTTCCCTGTGCTCCTGGGGAACCCGCACATGCACCAAGGGGCAGCGGTTCGAACAGAACGAGGGAATCGAATGCTGCGGTTAAAATCAGGAAAAGTTTGCGTCAGGGAAGGGTCCTTTTACTCCATGGATACAGAGAGGATTCTGACTCATCGTCACCCTAAATAGGGTTTCTGAGGCTACAAATCCTTAAGGGAATAGATAGCCTCATCTTCTTCCTGAGCAACAGGTGGGTTTGAACCGCTGACCTTGAGGTTAGCAGTCCGATGTTTATCCAGGAGCATTGTGAGGGCTCCTCTCATCACACTTAACTCAATCTGCATGCTGACCAAATCATCTGGGAAGCTGTATCCATGAAGAAGAACTCAGCATCAGGGCCGGGGGAGGCTGACCAGCAACCTGTGATACGCAGGTGACAACCTTGCTTGCTGAAGTGAGAGCTTGAAGGACCCCGAAGCACAATCAAGCTGGAAGGTCGAGTTTTACAGCCTTCCGTGTGGATTACAACGCCATGGAACGCATTGCCTAGACCACAGAAAGTGTCATGATCAGCAGGGAAAAGATGGAAGGATTTCCTTTTACTTGAATCCGCAATCACTGCTCGTAAAAGCAGCAGTCGATTGAAACGAAACATGCGTTAACTGGAGCAAGTCTGCCGTGCAGGACCACGTTAACGCGCGAAAGGGCAAGATGCCACTCTGAGGACCAAGGTGTGCTGGACGCCAGCCGAGGAAGCTTCAGTCACCGCACATGCATGCGAACGCTGTGCAACTGAATCCGGAAATCAAGTTAAGAATCGACTTATTTGGACGTCAGTGTTGGCAAAGAGCACTGGACATACTGCCAGGGTGTTCCTTAGAAGTCAGGAGGGCAAGCTTTTGTCTTGTGTGTCTTGGACGTGTGATCAGGGAGAAGCCGTCCCTGGGAAAGGGCATGGTGCTCAGCAAAGTAGAGGGTCAGCACAAGAGAGCAAGACCCCCAGTCAGACGGACTGCCACAGTGGTGACAACAACTGGAAGGGGTGTGAGGATGGGGTAGGACCAGGCAGCGGCGGTTCTGTTGTCCACAGGTCTCCTGGGAGCTGGAGCTGACGCCAAGGCTCCGAACAAGCACATGAAGAACAGCAGCATCTGAGCTGAGAGCCGTGGACGCGGTCCACTCAGACCACCGAGGGTGTGAGCGGCAATGAGCCCCGTGGCCAGAGCAGCAGAGGGCATGTGGGTCTGGAGCGCACACAGGACAGGCACTCGTGAACATCACACAGACCTGCAGGAGTGTTGCAGCTGAAGAGCTGGAGCCCCGAAAGTTGAAGGTGTGCAGGTCCAAACAGGGGTGCCATTCAGGGAGGACGCCGTCTCCCTGCTCCCAAACTAGACACGGCCTCCCTGGGCCTGACCACTGAGCGAGCACCGGGGGAGGCCACTCACCTTTGCCGCGTCCGACACACAGTCCCAGTTCCCCCCGGAGAGGGCGTACTGCCCGCTGCCAATCCTGGCCAGGATCTCCTCGGGCGTGTCCTCGGGGCCGTTGGCAAAGGGGGTGAAGCTGTGGGGTGAGAAGGTGGGTGTCCGGTTATAAACCGGACTGAGAGCATGCTGGAGAGCAAAGAATGGACAGGCCCTTTCCTGCCACACCGCCATTCCGAGGCTGCAGCCAAGTCAAGCCTAACTTATCTCCCGGACCGACCGAGGTCTGCGTTCCGGAGAGGGCACGTGACAGGGCACGTGAGGAAGGCTCTGCAGAGCCCCAGGAGGAGCCTTTGCAGGACAACTTCTGGTTTGCCTGGTCAGGCTGTGTACGGTGGTCTCTGTGGTGATGGGCTAGAGAGTGGTCTCTGTGGGAGTAGTATGTGTGTCGAGGGGCCCCTCTGGTGATGGGGTGCAGAGTGAGCCAGAACTTGAGCTTTGAGGTCTCAGACACCCATGCTTGACTGACTCTGAGTCCTGAACATGTACCCAGATCAGAAGAACCAAGGTGCTGCCAGCCAGAGGGGCTCCCGACGGGAAGAGTCACGCCTGGTCTGAGGTGCGGGGGTCTCGCTTAGGTGAAGTGTCTAATCAGGAGTGAGTCTCTTCCTGTCCCTAGTTGTCCCGCAGGGCACTAACGAGTATGACTATGAGCGCATTCGCTGCACATCTTGGGGCAGAGCCCTGTGGAGGCCCCAGGGGGGTCCCTCACCCGGCCAGCATGGTGTACAAGAGGGTCCCCAGGCTCCACACGTCACATGCCGCGTCGTACCCTTGCTGCTTCAGGACCTAGAAGCAGGGACAAATGTTGGTGCATCAGAGCCAAGCACTCCACGGAGGAGGGGCGGGGACCACGCCATGCCTCAGAGCTGGCTGGAGTGGCTAGGGTGGAGTGGCCGTGGCCGGCTGGCCCCAGGGGAACAGCATTCCGGCACCTTCACACACTGAAGTGGCGGTCAGTGTCACCGAGGATCCTCCAGTGTGCTCGCATGCCGCTTGACCTGTCTGGCACCTCAGGGGCCTGGCTGTGGACAGTGGGTGCTCTGCTTTGCCGACTCCCCGGGCACAAGGCCCCTCATCTGCCCCAGTCAGAAGCAGGGTTGACAGGACTCAAAGCTGAGTAGCACGTCTGCAGTCAGAGCCCGACTCCACTCCTGAAATCTAAAGCCCAACCTCTGGCCTGAGTCAGTCCCGACTCAGCCCCTGAGCACAGTGCAGAGCTGCCGCCTCAGCCCCTGAGCACAGTGCAGAGCTGCCGCCTCAGCCCCTGAGCACAGTGCAGAGCTGCCGCGTGCATCCCCAGACTGTTGGTCTCTGTGGGCGCAGCCCACCTGTACTTCCTCTCACGGAGCAGCTGGGGGTGCTGAACCACCGACCTTGCTGCCCACGTTCAGCCTGGGGCTCCTTACACTATTCATACGGAGACTGCGACGTGACGCTGGCCAGGCACTAGCCAGGCCAGGGTCCATATCCAAGCTGGTGGAGGGCCTCCATGTTCTTATGGTTCCTGAACGTCACTCCCAGGGCCCAGGTGGTGCCGTGGGCGGGGATGGGACTGCTGACGGCGAGGCCGGTGGGTCAAGCTTCCCAGCTCCTACTCTGGAGGATGCTGAGCCCCGGCAGGGCACAGCCCCACGAGGGCCTGCTGGACAGGAGCTGTTGTGAACGCCGGCCACCAGGCCTTTCTGCCGTGGGTCAGTTTGAAACACTCACTCACTCACACATAGTCTCACACACACTCACATACTCTCTCACACACATTCACCCCTACACAATCACATCCATACAGACTCACACACGTACACACTCACACTCTGTCACACACATATACTCATATACTAACTCATACACTCACACACACACACTCACACATACACAATCACATCCATCCACCCATATAGTCTCACACACATACACACTAACACACCCATATTGTCTCACACACATATGCACCTACTCTTACACACTCACACATACACTCACATACACCCTCACACTCATACTCACTTCTATACTCTCACACACTCATAGTACACGCATCCTCCCACACACATACACTCACATAGTCACATGTGCACGGACACACTCATCAACTCACACATACACTCACGACATACACACACGTTCACTCCTATACACACACAGACACACTCTTTCTCTCTCTCTGACCCCACAGGACAGATCAGAGCTGCTGCACCTGGTTTCTCAGACTGGGATCTCTCTAGACACTGACTGCCCATCTGTTTCCCGAGTTGCGGCTGGTGGATTCCAACAGCCACGTGTTGCTCAGGGAGCTGACCAGCGCTTCCTCCATGGCACCACCCTTGGTGCTGAGCCAGTCAGCCACAGACCACCGGCGCTGCCCAGAAACCTGTAAGAGGGCCCAGAAGCCACCCCACCCCCCACCGCCTGCGCTCCCTCTCCCGGACTGACCTCGGGGGCGACGAAGTTGGCCGTGTAGCAAGGGGTCATCAGCAGCCCGTTCTCGGCTCGCAGCTGCTTGGCGAAGCCGAAGTCACAGATTCGGATGGACTCGGCGTCCCCGGACTCGTCCACGTACAGGATGTTACTGGGCTTCAGGTCTCGGTGAACCACCTGGCGGGCAGAGCGGGCGCTAACAGACCTGCTCCCTGAGGACTTGGGACCAGGGCTGTGGCTCAGGAGTCCAGACGCCCACCCAAGATGAGCCCCACACCAGCCAGTCCAGGGCACAGAGTGAATGGGGGATTCCCTCAGGGAAAAAGCCACCCCATTAGCCCACAGTGAGGCACAGCTGCGGGGAAGTGGGCCGTCTTGCAGAGAGCTGCAGGAAGGGGTGCTAGCTCATTGGGCAGGTAAGGGGCCCGGGGAAGCTCCCAGAGGCCCAGAGGCAAACTGCCAGGTCTAACACCCCACAATACACGTGGGGGGGTGGGGCTCTCTCTGCTTCCCTTGTGGAAGCCAGCCATGGGCCAGCCATTAGAAGCCACAGACCAGAGCTGGGTCCCCGTGGCTGAGGACCACCCTAAGACACCCCTAGACCAGACCACGGCCAGCGCGGTGATGCTACTGGGTGGATTGTGGCCAGGAGCAGGGGCGTTGGAACCCCACCAGATGGGTCCAGACCCTGAATTTGTCTCTTGCGAGGGCTGCAACCTTAGCCAAGACCCCATGCCTTAGTGTCCCTGCCCGTGAAACGGGTCTAACGCAGAGTCAGGAGTCAGCTGTGAAGAGCTTCGACTGTGAACCTGGGACCCGGATGTCTAGGTCTCAGCTCCCGCATCACTGCCACCTGCCTATCCTCTGCAGTGAGACTGACTCCGCTTTTAAACCTGCAAGTCACGAGCATTCTACACCTCCCTCCAGCAAGCCTGAAGGGCTTCCTGCTGCAAATGGGTTAAAAAACAAACAAAACTAACCCCACTGCCATCATGTCAACTCTGACTCTCAGCTGCCCTGCGGCACGAGCAGAACTGCCCTGCGGGTTTCCGAGGCTGCCAACCTTCAGGAAGCAGACAGCCCGACTTGCCCCCTCGGAGCGGCTGGCGGTGGGTTTGAACAGCTGACCTTGAGGTGGGCAGCCCAACCCCATGATGGACCCGGGCTCCGTATCATTGCTTTGGGTCCAGACAGTGTCATTTCTTCAGCCCACCCCCACCCCCAGTCCCGGGAAGGCGGTGGCACGCACCCCCTGGGAGTGCAGGTAGTCCATGGTCTTGGCGATGGTGTGCAGCACGTCGCTGGCCTCGCGCTCTGAGAAGCACCGCAGCTGCAGGATCCGGTCCAGGAGCTCGCCGCCCCGCATCAGCTCCATCACCAGGTACACGTACTTCCCATCGTCATACACCTGGGGGTGGGGTGGCAGGGGGCACGCACACTCAGACACACACCGCCCTGGCCTCCCACAGGACGCTGGCTCCCAGTGCTGCCGGGTGCCGCCTGCAGGGGTGGCAGTTCAGGGGAAGACACCGGTCAGCGGAGTGGGCAGAGTCGCTGTCCCCTGCCACTTTCAGCCAGCGGCAGCCCTGTGGGCTGCAGCGACCCAAGCCACACCCCTGCTTCCTGCCAGGAACCCGCACTCTGCATGCTGGCACTCAGGTCCAGCCCCTGGCCTGCTGGCTGAGGGGCGCTGTGTGGACGTCTGACCCTTTCTGATGTGTTCTAGCCGACAGGGTGCCCTCAGGACAGCTGTGTGATGGAGAAGCGGCAGTGTGGGCACCTGGCTGCATGCCAGCCCTCCACGTGGTGCCCCACACCCTGATGCACAGGGGGTGTGAGGCGTGGCTCCAGTTAGCACACAGGCTCCAGCCCCTCAGGGCAAGCTGCCCCACACCTGTGGGCAGGAAGGTGGGACCCATGATGAACTCATCCAAACCAACCTCACTGTCATGGAGTCGATGCTGACTCACAGCAACCTTGTAGGACAGGGCCCTGTGGGTTTCCGAGATGGTAACTCTTTATGGGAGTAGAAAGGCTTGTTTTTCTCCCACGGAGTGGCTGGTGGATTTCAACTGCAGACGGTGCAGTTAGCAGCCCAACACATGAACACAATGCTCTCCCCTCTCCCCTTCCCGCTGCTGCCATGCCCCACACGCCCCGTCAATCGAGGTGATTCCAGCCCATCAACCCAGAGCAGTGCTAGATAGTTTGTTTCTCAGAAACTCATCCTTCTCCCGAGGAGCAGTCAGTGGGTCTGAACAGCTGACCTTGGGGTTCGTAGGCCAGGGTGCATCGTGGGTGGGGCTGTGTGTGTGTATGCGCGTGCATGTGTGTGCGCAGCACAAGTGTGTTTGTGTGCACGTGTGCATGCTCACAAGTGTGTATGTGTATGTATTTGTGTACATGCACACATGGCTGTAGTGTGTCGAGAACGGGATTCTAAAGCCACCCACAGAGCCTTTTAGGGTGTCATGTTCAGGGGAGCAGAACACCAGGTCATTCCCTCCGGGAGCAGGTTGGACTGACCATCGACCGCTGGCCTGGTGGTCATTAGGCCAGCATTTCGCTGCGTGTGTTTACGTGTGAGAGTCTCTGGGGACCCCTGAAGTAAATGCCATATCCCCTTCACAACAGGCCTGCTAACTCTGACTTGGCCCCTCCCCTCGGCTCCCCCCTCCCCAAGCAGAGGGGCCCTCCTGATCCCCAGGGTCGTGGCCGGGCAGGAAGGAGAAGCCCCTCAGCCTGAGCCCGAGGCTGGAGACGCCACACTTCTCCCAGCCCTGTTCCTGTCTGTGCTGGCTGTGCGGTTTGGGGGGGGTCAGTGTGTGCAGGGGTTGGGGGGCTGGCGGGCACTTACGTCTTTGAGGGTGATGATGTTGGGGTGCTGGCCGTACCTCAGGAGGATCTCAATCTCTTCCGACGGGTCCCTTTTACTCTTGTCAATGATCTGGAAGGGGCACAGGGCCGGTGGTGAGAGGGGCAGTGGGCAGTCTCTCCTGCCTGGCCCAGGTCGACTGCCTCCATGAAAGCTGCCTGGACCCAGCCTCATCCAAGGGAGGAAACAAGAGACAGAGCAGGAATCCAGTCTGTCCTGCTTGGAATTAAAAGAACATCCCCACACCACTCAGTTTCCCCTAAAAGTTAGCTCGATGGATGCCGGACTCTCAAACACCCTTCCACGAGGCGGTTCCGACTCACAGTGATCCTGCAGGACGGCGTAGAGCTGCCCCTGTGGGTTTCTGAGACTGTAAAGCTCTAGGGGCGCAGAAAGCCTCATCTTTCTCCCGCTGAGCGGCTGGTGGTTTTGAACTCCTGACTTTGTAGTTAGCTGCCCAAGAGGCTCTGGAGGGGCCCCGTGGGTGAAAACACCGCGTCATGCTGCTGCCACCTGCTGGCCAGATCAGGGATGGCGTGGCCCAGGCGGCATGCGTCCACCCAGCATGCGTGGAGGACTGGGTCCTAATGGGCATGCGACTTTGCAGTCGGAGATGTTGCAGGGGTGGCTGTGTGAGGGAGCTCAGGGTGGTGGTGGTACCGGGTCAGGGGCGAATCCGATGGAGGCAGAGGGTCCACGCTAGGAGACTGACCGCAGGAGCAAAGGTTGGCAGGATGCAGGCCGCTCAGGGGCCTTTCTGGTTGTGCCTTTTCCAGGACACGTCACCCCCTGCCGAGCGGAGTCACCCTTCGCTGTGCTACACACCACAAGGCTTGGGTGAACAAGGTAGCTCCCACACCCCCACCCCTGGCTCCGAAGGCCTCAGCTATGCCTTCCTGTAGCTGCACGCGGCACGGGTGGTTACTCCGGGTGGGGGGTGGGGTGGGGGGGAATGGACCAGAGACGTCAGGGACCCACTTCACTAGCCAGGGTCCCGACACCAACCAACACCCCAACTTCACGAACAGCGGGCCCTGCCTTCCAAGCGCCTCGTGCCTGCCGGAACCAGAAAATGACAGATTGGATTTGAGAAGTCTCCTGGGGACCCCCTGCCACAAGTCAGGGTGATCCCCCACCCCCGCCCAGCACAGTCTGCTCCAGGCCTTGGATCCGCTGCCTGTGGCACTTGGTCTGCTCCAGGCACGGTTCCGAGAGTCACTTCCCACCAGTTAATTAGTGGCTTGCTGTGGCAGCTGTCGTTGAGAATGAGGCTCTGTGGTGACGGGTCCCATTGCTCACGGCCACGTCAACCTGTTTACGGGAGCGGAAGACCTTATCCTCGTCCCTCGAAAAGGCTGGTGGGTTTGAACAGCTGACCTTAAGCCCGCCACCAGGGCTCCTGACTGTTCCAGAGGGTTCTATAAGAGCAAAGGTGGTTCTGGCCCGTAAAGCATCAGGACAAGGCTAGACTTCTCCCCCAGGGCCTGCAGACATGGCTTTGACCGTGCAGAACATATCTGTGATGGGTGGGTTTGTGCCAACCTGGTCAATGAACCCATGTGGGATTGACTGAAGGGCGGAGAGATAAATGGCTCAGGGAGCCTCGCCTTTCTTGTCTCTCGCTCTTTGATGATCGGACCAGTGTGCAGCTGCCTTAGCTTGTTCTGTGTCTCAATTTGCAAGCTATACTACCTGTGGGGCTCCTAACCTGTGGACTGTGTTGCTGCAGTTTGAGGTTCCTTCAAGACCTGCTTCACCACACTGCTGGTGTAGACATCACTTGAGCTGGGGACTGTCAGACCCTGTCACCTGGTTGACTGTTGGTGACCCTGCCCTGCTAGTTGCTGCCTGTGCCCGGATAGCCCGAACTGCTCCACAGAGGACTCCCCGGTGGCCCTCAAGACGTGAAGGACTGCCAGTGTGTCACAGCTGTCTCACGGGAGTGAGTTGCACTGAGCCATTTGTACTGCTTTATAGAGTGACTGTTTAATTTTTATGTAATATCTGTCTATGTAAATATATATAAAATCATTAGAGTCCTGGTTTTGTTTCTCTAGAGAACCCTGTCCAACATAAGATCCCTCTGGGAGCAGGCTCCCATCATCCATCCACGTGTCTGCTGTGGGAGCTCGTGGGTGGCTGGGTTGCCCAGAGATCGGTCGTGGGAATCCAACGACCAGCAGGGTCTTCCAAGGCGAGCAGGCTTCAGCGGGGCTTTGGGACTGAGGCTGACTGGGAAGAAAGACCGGTGATTCAGTTCTGAAAGTCAACGTTGCTAGGGAGCTGGCATGGGAGTCCCCGGATGGCAGGACGCAGGGGACGGAGTGAGGCCTGATTGTGCAGACAGTGCAGTCCGGAGTGGCTGGGAGGGCAGGCGCCACAACAGGGGCATTTGGCACCACACGGATGATGAAGGCCGTTGGGAGGATCCTGTTTCTTCCTTGGCGGCTTGGCATCCTTTCCAGGATACAGGGACTAGAGACATGGGCACCTTGATCTGTGCTCAGTTCAGGATTCTCCTGAGTCGAGGGAGGAGTCCTTCTGGGCCCCTGCTGGATTCCAGAGGGTTTTCTGGGAGGCAGCTCTGAAACAACTTCTGCCAGGGGAGATGCAGGCCCAGCTGACCAGGCTCAACATCTCCCGTGACTTCAGAGCATCGAACTGCATATTGCGGCCACACAGCAGACCACGTGGACTCTGTCTCCTGGGGCTACAGACACAGGGACACCGCAAGGGGGTGGCTTTGAGGAACAGACGTTGATTTTCTCACAGTTCTGGAAGTAGAACTCGGATCAGGACTTGGCCACGCCGAGTTATTTCGTCAGCGCTCTCCGGTTCTTGGCGATTCTCTGATGGTGTCACCTGGCTCAGGGAGTGCCCACCTGTGCCCACGCAGCTCTTCCATGAACCTCTGGGACAGGAGGGACACACCCTCTGGATGCACATCTTCCAAGAAAGGCCTGTTTCTTCTTTCGGCAGTCCACGGGACTTTCAGTCTTCTTCGCCAGCACCGCGACTCACGTGTGCCCATTCGTCTTCGGTCTTCCTTATTCAGTGCCCAACTTTCACGTGCATTTGAGGCCACTGAAAATGCCATCGTCTGGGTCAGGCCCGCCTTAGTCCTCAAAGTGACATCCTCATTTTCAACCCTCTAAACAGGTCTTGTGCAGCAGATTTACCTAACACAACTCATCTTTTGGTTTCTTGGCTGGTAATCCCATGAACGTTAGTGGATCCCAGAAAGACAAACTCCTGGACAACTTCAACCTGTCCCCCATTTATCCTGATGTCACCTATTGGTCCATTGTGAGGAGGTGCGCTTGGGTCACTCCGAAGACTGCAACCCTTGGTCCCCGCCAGCAAGCGCTGCAAGCCCCCCCACTTTCTGCAAGCAAGGGGGTGTTGTCTGCCCTTCCCAGGCTGTTAACGAGCCTTCCCCTGATCCCGATGCTGCACTTCGGAAAGAACTTGGGTGACTGAGGTGTAGGAGGGACCCCCAGCAGGACATCTGTGGAAGTGGGGTCCACCTAAACACCAAACAAAACAGCCCCTCCCTCAGCAGAGGGGCACCAGCACACCCACAAGGTGCCCCACAAAAAGCCCCAGGCAGGTTTCCCTGAAAGTGTCCCTCTGAGAATGCTGGAACCGGGGCAGGCTCCAGAGATGCCCGTGTGTTGGAGCGGGTGGGGACTGAGTAGGACTGTCCCAAACAGTGGCCTCTCGGCTAGAAAATTCTCTTTCCTCTCTGAGAGTAACCCAGACACGGGGACTGCCCTTGTGGTCCCTGTTCCGAGGCTCAGCTGAAACACGCCCATGGAACGGCTTTGTGACAGGGGGCACGCAGAGCCCACTGGGCCAAGACCCTCATCGGGCGGGGACCCTGGGCCCTGCCTGGGCTCAAGCATCCTGCAGGTCACACACAAGGTGACCTGCAGCCTTCCTCGCTGCAGAGGAAGGGAGTGCCCTGCAGTGACCCCCTGCTGAGCTTGGCCCCCCCTCTTCTTCCCCCACCCCGCTTCTCCCTGAGCGATGGGAGCGGCCTCCCTCGGAAGGCTCCTCACGACACGACACAGAGGAGCCACGTGGGAATGCTGAATGCAGACAGTGTCCTGCGGGAACTGGGTGTGGGGACATTTGGGCAGAGAGACGCTGCTGGCCTTTGTCAGTGGGGGATCGTTTCTAAGACACCAGGCGGTGACTGGTTAGACTCACAGCTGTTCTCTGGAAGGGCTGCCTGGCTGTAGACCTCGGTCCCCCATCTGCCTCACCCCCTGGCCCCTGCTGGCCCACAGAGCCTGTCCTAAGGACTGCAGCCGGCCGCCAGATCACAAAAACAAACAGCTCCCTGAACCAGTCCTGACCGCACAGTGACCCTGTGGGGCAGTGTAGAATGGCCACTACAGGTTGCCCGGACAATGACTCTTCACGGGAGCAGAAAGCCTCACCTATCTCCCTTGGGGCGGCTGGTTGTTTCGAACTGTCACCCTTGTGGTTAGTAGCCCAGTGGGTGACCACCGTGGGCCCCTGGCCACCAGATGGGCTGACGGGACAGGGGAAGCCAGCCCCACAGGGACAAGTAGCACAATCACACACACGAGGCACGTGCACAACATAGATGCTGTGGGAGCCAGAGCAGAACTCGGCACAGCCCCCACTGGCTTCCTGGGTACCTGGGGGTTGGGGGGAGCTTTTGCCCCTGGGGAGAGGAGGAGAAAGGAAGCACCCCTGCAATTCTTCCTGGGACACTCTTTCCCTTCTCCCCCGCCCCACCTGTCTCCTCCTTCCCTCCTCCTCCCCACCATGCCAGGCCTGACTTGCCCCGTTTCCCTCACTCTGGGTGCTAGCTAGGGCGGGCACAGGGGGCCACGCGTGACCACATTTACGATTCGCAAATGCATTCATTTCTCCAGGTGACCTGATAGCAACTCCAGCTGATAGGCAGTGGCCAGGGTATGGTGTTGCCCGGTGGGAGAGGCCGACACCCACCCGGGGAGTCAGCACAGCGGCTGTGAGGGCTGCGTGGGACCCCAGCCGCCCTGGCCCAGCGTCCTCACCTTCACGGCATACTCTGCGCTGGTGGCCTTGTGCACACAGCGCTTGCACACGGAGTAGGAGCCCACCCCGATGTCCTCCTTGATCTCGTAGCCGTCGGTGAAGTGGACGTTGTTCCCGTGCAGCTGCTGAGAGGCGGCCGAGAGAAGGGCCCGTTAGCAGCCAGGCTGCCGAGAACCGGCAGGGACGGGGAGCGGGCCTTCCCTCACTTGGGGACACCCGCCTCTCTCTCCAAGGACAGGGGGGCTAGAACTACCTGGGGAGTCTGTGGCCACCAGCGTGGCTGACTCGGTTCCTGCACAAATGGGAACGGGAATTCTCTGCCTTTAAAGACGACTCTGAATTTCAGCTACACGGATGGACAAGGTGGAAAATTAAGCCCCACGCACTGCCTAGGTGCCCACTCTGACTCACGGGCCCCCAGCGTTTCCCAGGCTGACAGCCCTCTGGAAGCAGATGGCCAGCCCTCCTCTGCCTAAGAGCGGCTGGGGGTTTGAACTGCGGTCAACAGCTGGCCTTTCTAACGGACGCAGCCCCAGGGCTATGAGGTGGACCCCACACGGAACCAAGCTCACTGCTGTGGAGCCCGTTTTGACTCACCGCTACCCGACAGGGTGGTGCAGACCTGCCCCAAGGGAAGAGCCCTGGAGAAGTGTGTCTCCAGCCTCCCGTGCCACCCCCCACCCCAGAGTGCTCACGCCTCACAACGGCCAGCACCCACAAGGGATCTCTGCTGCCCCAGGGTGTGGCCAGGCTTCACATGGGGCGACCATGTTTGACCTGGGGCTTCAGTCACTGCCCCACCCCCAGCCACTTCTTAGGGCCTGGTCTCCTTTTCTCTCAGGGGACTGTGCGGGGGTGGGGGGTGGGTGGGGGGGCTTGAGTGACACACGGGCATGGGGCGTCTGGTGCCAACTCGGGTCCCCAGTGCAGGATGCAGCCTAAGGCGTCGGCATGGCCTGTCACTAGGTGGGCCCTGGGCTCTGGCGTTACCTGGACAATGGGGTGGACGGTGGCCTTGTGGACATCCTGCTGCGAGGGCTCCTGGACCAGGCTCGATGCCACAAAACTGAATCCTCGGAATAGGTGGTGTGCGCTGGCACTGGGGGGTGCGCCCGGTGAGTCTGCGCAGACATGGGGAGTGAGTGCACCTGGGGAGTCTGTCCAGACATGGGGGAGTGAGTGCTCCCGGGGAGTCTGCCCAGACATGGGGGAGTGTGTGTGAGTGAGTGTGCCCGGGGAGTCTGCCCAGACATGGGGGAGTGAGTGTGCCCGGGGAGTCTGCCCAGACATGGGGGAGTGAGTGC